GTGGGAATTCTGGTTTTGGAAGGACACATCTTCGAATTTGAGAAATGTTTTCGAATTTCTTGAAATAGTTTTTCCGAATGTTTTTAAATAAAGTTAATAAATGAATTTATATAGAAAACCTGTGAAACTTTTTCTGGATTGGAAAATGACTCATATGACAGGAAGAAGTTTCGGACAATGTACCCGATTATAATTAAACTAATTGGACTGAAAAAGATTAACACATTTTTAATCTGCTCACAATGACACATACCGGAAGTTTCTTGTTGCAAAAAATACTTTTTTTTCGTAATATATCTCTTGCTTATGACAATTCGTTTTAAATTAAATGTTTCACCTGTTCACAAGATATGACACAAATTGAAACTTTCCCAATTTTTTTCTAGATTAAAGATCAAGATTGATGAAATATTCAGACAACCTGACGCACAAACGTTTAGCGAGACACTCCTACCTAATTGTTACCATGAACGATATCATTTTAGAAATTTCCGCTTTTCATTATAATTAGAAAACTTGTTTTCTTTTTAAACTCTCTGTTAGACTCAACATTTTGCGTGAATGTTGGCATGAAGTTACTAATGATAGCCGTTTTGGTTCTATTTCATATCGAAAGTTTTCGCCGAAACAGTGCTCTCACGGTTAACCGATTTCGGATTTCAAAGAAATGCACTCGAATTCTATACTGTGGAGTTTTTCTGTCTATAAATTTTACTGTTTTATTATTCATGTTTTCACGACAACAGAAGAATCGCAAAAAAAAAAGAAGAATCAAAATTTGAGAAAATTTGGATCAAGTATAGAAGGACACTCACTAATGTTCGTAATATATTTCGGACTGAATGGATTGGTAGAAAGTTTAGCGATTCTTTTAGTATATCGACCTTCTCGAAATGCTGTGAAAGACATTCAGTGTTTCAGAAAACCAAAAGGTTAGGGAGACAATTTGGTTTGATATTCATAAATTTTCAGAACCCAAAACTCGAATTATTCTGGTTCGAGAAGTTTGTTCTAGTTTTGGTAGAACTGATTATTGATTTTCAATGCATCATCTGTTCCCACGAATCCAGAAAATTGTGAATGAACAATTACGGAAAAATAAAAATTTATCGACATCAAAAAATCCACAAAAAATTAAAATCAAACTTTCATAAAAGTTGGGAATTTCTCAATATTTTTCGCATGATAATCAATGACATCTTCCATGATAGCCACCAATTTTACAATATTCTCCTCTCGATATTTTTCTTTTTCCTCTCCAGTTTCATGGGAATCCAAAAAGGGCATAATCATGGGGACCACGATCATGGCCATCAGCGGGAAATGGATGTTGTANGAGTCGTGGAGCTGAAAGACTATTTATTTTTATTATTGTTCTAATTATTATTATTATTAAATAATCATACCTCCTCCTTGTGAAATACTCTTCTCCATGAACCTTCGTGAACGTCTCATAGTACAATTTCAACAATTCCTCTCCCTTTTCTCTTCGATCCTGAAAATAAAATAAATACCGTAAACCTTCTAATAGAACGACACCCGGATCGTCCACTTTGAGCCTATATATCTCATTTTCTGTGAAAGATATCAGAAAGTGGCTAACTAGTAAAATGTTGCTAATATCCTGATAAACATTTTACTAGTTAACAACTTTTTGATATCTTTTAAAAGAAGTGAGATATATAGGCTCAAAATGGACGATCCGGGTGTCGTTCTATTAGAGGTTTTACGGTATCTGTGTTTCCAAATGTCTTGATGTCTCCTCCTTTCCCTCCTTCTCCACCAACCTGAGCATTCAAACAGCATATTAAAACCCGCACCATATCCGATCCAGCAGCTCCTCGTCCAACACATTGCCAATCGATAATTGCCTCTAATTTCAGACCTTTTCGATCGTTCTTCAGACTGTGCAACATATTCGCTTGCCACAAATCATTGTGATTCAGGACCAACTTGAACCCTGGATTCTCTTGAATATGAGCAAAATTCTTGATAAGAGTTTTATAATAACGAAAAATTGGAACAACTTTCTCTAGAAGGTCCTTATGTTCCGTTCCGAAAATCGCATCCAAACTTCCGAACATTTTGTCCATTTGCTCATCATCAAAGAACTGCGCAAACGCGGATTCCATCATTTCAGGTCCACTGAATTTCGATAGTTCTTCTTCTGTGAAACTTTGAGCCAATGCTGAAAATGTGGCAACTCCGCGAATCAACTGGGTGATATCGTTTGCTGATATCGACTGATGCATTCCCATACAATGAACGTTTGGAACGAAATCCGAAATGATATATGCTTTTAAATCGGTTTCATTGGAGAATGATTTTAGAGCGTAGACCTGAAGAAAAGTATTTGAGAAAATTTTGATTTTGAAATGTTCTACAAAATTTAAAACCGTCAAATTTATATTTTTTTTAACCGTCTTAATTTTTCGAATTGTATGGTAAACATTTCACAGTGCTATATTACAAACGAAGAAAATTACAGTCCACGTTTTTGGAGAGGAGACGCAGACAGCGATAGTGTCTACTTCTCCTTTTGCGCGCGCAATTTGGTCAGTAACTTTGGCCATTTTTCAGCTAGATTCATAAAAAGACTATCATCAGAATCAACTGATTTAGACGGTTTGAATGAGTATAAATAAGCAAATATTTTCAGATGTTAGAAAAAAATTTGGAAGAAAATTTTCAATGCTTTCTGTTGAACCGCCACAAAAAAAATTGCAAGACGTTTTAATACTGTCAATTTTATATTCATTCTGACCGTCTTAATTTTCTGATTCGAAAGGTATAAATATTATAGTTCTAGCTTAAAAATTAACAGAGTTACAGTCCCCGTTTAGAGAAGGAGACGCAGACAGCGAGTGTGTCTGCGTCTACTTTAGCGCGCGCGAATAGATTCGTAAATTTGCTAGCTAGATTCATGAAAATAGAACCATTAGAATCAACTGATTTAGACGGTTTGACTTTTATGAGTCCTCACCTTGGTATACGGTATATCTGGATGATTGAATTTCATCAAATGTCTGTATGCCTCGACTTCTTGATTATGGAATTTTCTAGTGAACGCAGACAACATTTCCAATTTCGCCTCATCGAATCCTTCGGAACCAAGGACACTAGCAAGCTTAGCATGAGCAATTTGGGATGAAATCTGGAAAACTTTGAAGTTGAAAAGTTTCTGAGAACTTAAAAATTGAGATATTCACCTTCACAGCAAATTTCTCAGGCAATTTCTCGTCCTCGCTGGTTCCCTGCCAATCTGGATCAATCAAAGCGATTCTGGACATGAATCCCTGGAAAATTAAAAACGTCGTTGCACCAAATATGCGCCAAGGCACCAAAAATGCGCTACTTACCTTCAAATCTCCAATATTAGTTGCCTTCTTATTTGGTCCAAAAACTGCATTAGTTCCCAACGCCTTCTGCATTTCTTCCTCTACATCATGCCACGTCACATGGGTCTCCAGAAGACCAGACGATGGTTTGTAAAGGGACATTTTGTTAGAAATACAGCGAAATTGAAAAAAATTGAATGCTGAAGTTGTTATCAGTGATTTTTTGATAATTTTAAAGTCGTCGGAGCACACAAAAAATGTGTGTTTGTAGGTGATAAGAGCCGGAACCGGCTAGAGACCACACTTTTTTTAGTTTTTCTAATCACTAAAATCGAAAATTTTTGAGAGGCTAACTTGATTTCAGTCACATCTGAAAATCTAAAATTTTGAAAATTTGTTTTTTTCGAAATTTGAAAAACGTACCTTAAAAACTTCCATTTTCTGTTAACTTCAAAATTCAACATTTTGTAGTTTTTGTAGTTTCGAACTAATAAACTTCAGAAAAGAAATTTTAGAGGTCACAGAATATTTTATAGTTTTGCAAAAGTCACAAATGTGAGAAATTCAGAAAATTTGAAATTCAAAAATTCCAAATTCAAAAATTCTAATTTCAAAAAATAAAACATCCGATTCTCAGATACTTAGAATTTATTGGTCCTTTCCAACTTAACAATCGGAGCCACCCTATGAAGTAGACTGTCTCCTGAAAAATAAAGAAAAGTCAATAAATACCGTAACCACTCTTATAGAATGTCGTCTATAACTTCCAGCCAATATATCTCGGTTGCTGTAAAAGATATGAAAAAGTGGTCAATTGATAAAATATGTTTGATAATATGATAAACATTTTATCAGTTAACAGATTTCTGGTATCTCGTACAGAAAATGAGATAAATAGGTTCAAAGTTAAAAATCAGCGCTACGTGGTCGGCTGTCGTCCTCTTAACCTTGAGCCCTTTTATCTTGGTTTCTGTAAAAGATATTGAAAAGTAATCAACTAACAAATTGTTTATCATATTATCAACAGTATTTTTTTCAGTTGGCACCTTTTTGATATCTTTTACAGAAATCCAGATAAATTGCTTCAAAGTTAACATATTGATGTTGGGCGTTTCTATAGAGTGTTCACGGTATTTATCAATTTTAATAACAAACTCACTTCTAGTTTTTCTGCCTGTCAATATGGACCAAACAGCTTCTCGATAGGGTCGATGCACCAAAAGAATAGAGAAACTCTCGAAAATTCCATGTAGCGAAAACAAAATCATTACGATATTCCCAAGTTTTTGGTTAAATCCAGAGATTTAAAAGTTCAAAAAAGCCATAAAACACATAGACAATATAAAGAATAATGGGATTAGAGTCTGGATCACAATTCCAATAAAAAACTTTCTCTGACTTCTCTGCGTCTCCACAGAGGAGAGATTCGATGGGACAATGAATAAATGGTATACGGTACATGGCACGTGGAATAGAAGATGAGCAGAAAATTGGGTTACGATGATCGGAAGATGAATGTATAGAATATCCGAAGGAAATTCTGGATCATCGGAAGCTATGAGGACGTTGCTTGTGAAGAATTCTCTAGATGGACATGGATCAATCTTCAATAAATTGAATTTGCTGTTTTTTGATCTGCAGGAATTGAAAAAAAGAGTTTGACAAATGAAGAACAGCTAAGAACAAAAACCAAATGATATAAAACTCGTAGCGAAGTTTTAGGAATTCGAAATCGAATTGCTTGCAAGGAATGACTGCGACTTTCGAATAAGAAAATGTAGGAAGAGATCATAAAAAGTGCAAAAAAGGCAAACATTTAAAGTTGAATAAAATTGGAAATTCCGACAAAACTGAACAATCCGACGCCGAAAAATGAAACCGTTCGGAAGAATATGTAGCGTGTCACCAAGGTACATTGCTGGATATCATATAGGGAACATCTGGAAATTTTTAGCCCGTCAAATTCATATACATTCTGAATGTCTTAATTTTCTGTATGGAATGGTACAATTTTCACAGCATTAGCTAACAAATGAACAGAGTTACAGGCCAAAGTGTTCGCGCATTGGAGGAGAGACACAGACAGCGAGAGTTTCTGCGTCTGCTTTTGCGCGCAATGTGGTCCGTAACTTTGTTTATTTTCTAGCTAGATTTACGAAAATGCCACCATTTGAATTAGCTAATTCAGACGGTTTGAATGAGTATAAAAAACAGATGTTCTAACAATTTTTTCTGAAAATTGTCAGCTCTTCAATTTAAACCCTCCGGAAAGAGCTTTAAGAAATTTTAGGACCGCCAAATTTATATTGATTTAGACCGTCTTAGTTTGCTGTGTCGAATGGTGAACATTTCATAGCGCTAGCTTACAAATGAACAAAGTTACAGCCCCTGTGGTAGAAGGGGAGTCGCAGACAACGAGGGTGTCGGCGCCTCCGTTTGCGCTGTCAAATAGGTCCGTACTTTGTTCATTTTTTAGCTAGATTCATGAAAATGGTATCATTCAAATCAGCTAATTTAGACGGTTTGAATGATTTTAAATAATAAATATACAAATTTTCAAAAAAAATTTTAACATTTTGATTTAAAAAAAAGACTCACCCCGTGGAAAATGTCCGTGATCTTGGGATCTACTTCTCCAGTAACCTGAGTTTCCAATATCATTATTCGTTGATTATTCGGAAATCACATCAGAGGATCAACATGTTCTTTTCCATTCTAAAAAACGCATCGTGGAGTGTTTTTATAAAGTGCTATACAATTTACATACGCCCTTTACTTGAATATGGAACGATAGTCACTTCTCCAATCCTAAAGGATCATATTATAAAATTGGAATCGGTGCAAAAGTCATTTGTTTTCAGAATTTTCAAAAAATTCAGGATGGCATACACTTCGTACTTTGAAGCACTGGAAGAATGTCAGCTAAGTTCCTTGGAGTATCGCAGGCTCTATAATGATTTGGTCTACACGTATAAAATTATTGTTTCCAAAGAAATTATCATGGAGGTTCCAGTTTTCGAAATATTTAATCATGCTGGATCATTGCGACGTCACAAATACTATCTCAAATCACTTATCAAAAACTCAACAAAAATATCTTCTCAATTTCTCTCTAATAGAGTAATCAGATGTTGGAACTCTTTACCCGCCAAAGTGTTTCCGGTGAAGCCCTCGTCAGCGGCTTTCAAAAATCGACTATTATCCTGTGATCTAAAACATTTTCTTGTCTTGAATTCAACTAATTACTAACTCGGTTTTTCCTCCATTAATACAAATTTAATACAAATGTATGTCCCTGTTATATCTCCTAGTTTCATAGACATTTCACGTGTTAGTGGTTTTCTCCCCTTCGTTGAAATAAATAAATAAATAAATAAAATTTATTAAAATCAAATGGAAGATTTGAATTTCAGATCGGTGGGTGCTCCAGAAGCAATCTAAAAATTTGCAAGTGATTTTTAAAATTCGAAATTCAAAAACTCACAAAATTTTCAAATCACCATACTTGTAACGGGCCGGGCCGGGCCCGGAATATTACAAGTAAAAGCCTCTGCCGCTACAGTAACCCTCTCTATGTCGTTTTGGAATCCAGTGAGGGTGGCTCCGTGCAATTTGTAAAAAATATTTATTCAAAAATTTAAAAACTTAAAAACTCACCATAACACACCAAACTCCATTGGGTCTCTCAAATGTCATCCATTCTCTTGGGCATCCGGATTATGGTAGAAGTGGCCGACCTGGTGGCCTTGGCGGGCCCGGCGGCTGAGGTATGCTAGGTGGCCGAAGTCTTCTACCTTCCACAGAAGACCATGACGATTCTGATGAATCGAATCTTTGGAATCTCGCTGTAGCTGTTACCACAAAAAGCAAAGCCAGAATTAAAATGTTCATAGCTAAGAAATTAAGAAAACTTTGGAGTGGTGTACGGTATTTCTATAGTGTGGAAAAAGAATGAAGATTAAAGTTTTGTTTCCGGAAAAAAAGCAGGGTCCAATCCAAAAAAGTATGGTCATGTAGAGTGATCTGAAAAAAAACCTGGCGTTTTTATATCAAGAAATTTATTAGAATTTTAGATTTTTCAGAAGGTTTATTATATGACAATAAGAAAATATGACTAACAATAGGAATAGATGAAAGGGGAATATGTTACAGTTTCTTTATTTTGAAGTTTTTTAAAAGTTTTTTAGATAAAATGGGTTACTACAAGGGTTACTATTCAAAAATTTATTGAAAATAAACACTTTTAACTCCAATGAAAGATGCCGACGAAGTATGTGTTGCTCTTTCCGGAGCAATCTGAAAACTTGAAAAATTACTATTTTTAGAATTCGACATTCAAAAACTCACCAAATTTTCGAATCACAATTTTCATATACCCGGGTAGAAATCGTTTTGGGGATGTAATTGAGAAATCAAATGCCGATACTGTTTTTCTGAAAAACAACTTAAATTCATATTAACCTTTTTTCGTTTTTTTTCACATTTAAAATTTTTCTGCATGACATCGGTACTTGAACGATGCATTGATGAGTATTTCTTCTTTAGGATTTCATTCTTCAGCCTTTTTTCTCAGTAATTTCTCATTTTTTCAATTTTTTTCTGATTTTGAACTAATTTCTGGTGAAAATTTGTAAAATTAGGTTTGTTATCACACTAAAAATAATCGAAACACCCTTTTTCACACTTTCCAATACGATTTTCTCCGTTTCCAGCCGTCCGAAACCGAAAATTCGGCAGAAAACGGCTCGAGAAAACGATAGGTTTTTTCCGTGCCGCAGCCTTGCGTCGGCGACGCCCCGCCCACTCGCGGAAAAAATGGACAAAAATGAGAAGCACAAAATGGGCTGTAACTCGGGAATGAGTTTTGGAAATGTGCTAATTAGGAAGAGGAAATCATTTTAAAATACAAAGATTTCAAGAAAAAACTGTTTGAAAAAAATATTGTGGTCACTACCCATGTGATTCCAAACAATCAATAAATTTCCTGCAATAAAAATGATCCTTTTTTCGGATCATACTACACGACCATATTTTTATGGATGCTTTGATCGGAACTTGCTTTTTTCCGGAAAAAAAAATTCATGACCAATTTTATTGCACACCTCATACAAATACCGTACATCGCTTCCGATTTTTCTTCAGTTTTTAGCCATGAAACCCTTGATTCTGGCTTTGCTGTTCGTGGTAACAGCTACAGCGATCTATAGTGGAGGTGGTGGTGGAGGAAGATTTGACTCATCAGCAACGTCATGGTCTTCGGAGGAAGGTGGAAGACCTCGGCCACCTGGCAGACCTCGGCCACCAGGCCGGCCAAGACCTCAAGGCCGACCTCGGCCGCCAGGCCGGCCACGACCACCAGGACCTCGACCACCACGCCCATCATCAACAGGATGTCCAAGAGGATGGATGAGATTTGAGAGACCCCAAGGAGTTTGGTGTGTTTTTGTGAGTTTTTTTTTTAAATTTGAATCACCATTTAAGAAATGTTTCAACAATTTCAAATTTCAGGTAGGTCACTCCACTACATCCAACGGCTTCTTGTCCCAATCGGAGGCAGAAGCGATATGTGTGCGACACGGAGCCGTCCTAACTGGGTTCCAAAACGACATAGAGAGGGTTACTGTAGCGGCGGAGGCTTTGAAGCAGGTCACTGCTCTCGGGAAGACTGTTGGAGGGCTCTGGTTGGGAGCAACCAACAATCCAGTTTTCCAATTAAAAACTTTTCTACAGTAACCCAAAGAAATTATGTCTCATCACGACGAGCTGAAATGGGTCCATCCGGATCATCATGATGAAGTTATGAAGACGTCGAACGGAGGAGCAGAGGTAAGCAGTTTTTGGACTCAGTTTCAGACTTTAGACGTTTTTCAGCCTATTCAGGTTGAGTCTGCAATTCATACCTCTCGAATTGAGTACTCCACAATTTCGGTAAGATATTCAAATTTTTAAATGCTCCAAGCTTATTTTCCAAAATGTTCAGTCCCATCATGGCTCCGAGTTGGTCCATGTGACTTTCTATACATACGAGAATAGAAAACTGGTCAGAATGGTTTTGGATGAGAGATACGCCGCCTTCGATGACGTACTCCAGAAGGCAAATGAGTTGCTTCCAACTTGCAGATGGAGAATCTTTTCGGGTGAGCAGTTTATTTTTTTGAGCCATTTTAAACACTATTATTCCCATAAATTTCAATTTTTGGAATTCAGGAACCGACAAGCATGTATCGTTTGAATTCAAAAACACTCGACAGGTCTGGGATGCTATCAAACAAACTTCGTATTATGGCATCCGATATTTGGAGGTCCGTCAGATCAAAATTGGAGAATCAGCGAGATGTGATGGATGTTATCGGGAAATCTTGGGAAGCCGATACAAGTGCACTGAATGTTCAGATTTCGATCTTTGTGGAGTTTGTGAAATGGGACCAATTCACAGTTTCCACAAATTGATCAAAATTTGAATTTCTTTGATTTTTATTAACAATCATATATAATCATTGATGGAACACTTTTCATTTTTATTTATTTTTTACTTTTTCGAATAGAGTAAATTTTTTTTTGTTCTTTTCACTTTTTGACTTGAACATTCTGAAATAAAATTTCGATAGTTTTCAAAAATCCCAAGAAAGTCGAAAAATTTGAAGTATAAAAATCTAGATATTCTGAATAATAAAATTTCTGATTATTTGAAATACAAAATTACTAGGAGAGCCAGAATATGGAAAATTCAGAGCAATCCGGAATTTTAAAAAAATAAAAAATTCAGAAGGTTAGAAATTCAGATTTTATCTAAAAAACTTTTAAAAAACTTCAAAATAAAGAAACTGTAACATATTCCCCTTTCATCTATTCCTATTGTTAGTCATATTTTCTTATTGTCATATAATAAACCTTCTGAAAAATCTAAAATTCTATTAATTTCTTGATATAAAAACGCCAGGTTTTTTTTTTCAGATCATTCTACATGACCATACTTTTTTGGATTGGACCCTGCTTTTTTTCCGGAAACAAAACTTTAATCTTCATTCTTTTTCCACACTATAGAAATACCGTACACCACTCCAAAGTTTTCTTAATTTCTTAGCTATGAACATTTTAATTCTGGCTTTGCTTTTTGTGGTAACAGCTACAGCGAGATTCCAAAGATTCGATTCATCAGAATCGTCATGGTCTTCTGTGGAAGGTAGAAGACTTCGGCCACCTAGCATACCTCAGCCGCCGGGCCCGCCAAGGCCACCAGGTCGGCCACTTCTACCATCATCCGGATGCCCAAGAGAATGGATGACATTTGAGAGACCCAATGGAGTTTGGTGTGTTATGGTGAGTTTTTAAGTTTTTAAATTTTTGAAAAAATATTTTTTACAATTTGATAGTTGCAGGTCGGTCACTCCACTACATCCAACGGCTCCATGTCACAACCGGAAGCTGAAGCAACTTGTGTGCGACACGGAGCCACCCTCACTGGATTCCAAAACGACATAGAGAGGGTTACTGTAGCGGCAGAGGCTTTGAAGCAGGTCACTGCTCTCGGGAAGACTGTTGGAGAGCTCTGGTTGGGTGCAACCAAGAATCCAGGATGTGCAGTTGCCAGTTGTGAACGTTATAGTTCTTATATATGGACTGATGGACATACAACTGGAACTGACGGATTCCATTGGGGAAATGGGGAACCGGAAAATGCGAATTGGGGGTGAGAGGGATCTCGGTTTTCTTCCTCATTTCATTGAATTTTTATAGAGCCACAGACTGCATTTAACAATTCATTATGTCCCAAAATTTCGTGGTTGGACCACAGGATTTTCCAGTTTGGAAGACGAGTTTTCAGCACGGAGATTTGGATAAATTCAAATGTTCGGGTCCGGCCATCCCATATCGAACGAGGTGAATGTTTGTAGTGTTGGCTTAAACAAACAATTAAACGAAACTCTGCAGAATTACTACATTATTTAGTGGAAACTCATAAGAAAATAGTGTTCAAAAAGTGGGAGCAATTTGAGAGCGGATCTACTGATAAGAAGAAATTTCGGGAAGCACAAAACTAGACTTTAAGAAATTTTATTTGTCAGCAAGTGGTAACAAACAGGAAGAAATTTTGGCTCTGTTCGATTATAGCGGGACCATGATAAATGAACGGCTCCACGTCACTTCGAGACCGGTTATTTGGAGTTTTTTTCCTCCTTGTACTGTTTCAAAAAACGTGTTTTGTTCATTCGGGACACGGTTCCGTATATTCTTTCTCTCGCTATAACCAAACAGAGCCGAAACTGCAGACCCACCTATTTTTTGAAATTCTGGTTTCAGTTTGTTAGATTTTCTGAATTTCGGAACTTCCTTTCCTGATAATGTAGAGTTGTGAAATCCTGAAATTCGCCAAAAATCAACAAACACTAATATTCAAACATTTATTTTTTTTTAGATTGCTCAACTCCAATAAATTACAAAAACCATTTAAAAAAGGGTCTTTGTCTATGTCATAGAGTGGAGTACAACCCCGCCTATCAACTGGGGGTGCACCTCACTCTATGTCTCTCACACTCTCTCTTGCTTGCGGGAAAAGGAGAAGAAGAAGGCAGTGTGGTTCTGGGAGGATGCTAAGACCAGGCGTCATCTCGGGTCTCTCTCGTCGAATATTTTAATAACCCTTTAATTCTTTTGTTATGTAACTTTTGCTCTCTTTAGATAGTTAATCATCCTTTTAGTCTTCTGTTATGTTAACTCTTATCCCCCTTAGATATTCAATCACTTCTAAGATTCTTTTGACATTAACTTTTATTCATTCCTTCATAATAAATTAGTAGTTGAGAACCCGAGTGTTATGTTGGAACCAAGTGGAAGGGTACGGCCCCAAGCCTACCAAAGTCTATGAATAGTACGTATACTCAACAAAATTTCAATACTTTCTCATTTCGTGACGTTTGTCTTTTATTTCCATTTTGTTTTTTTCCTTTTTGGGTTTGAATCTTATCTTTTGGAGCAATTTTGAAATTTCAAAATAATATTTTCAAAATTTTCAGCGTTCTCTGTATCCAAGCGGTCGAATGGAGAACTGCTATACATATGAACGTAGAAAAACTCTTTAGAAGTGAATGGGTCAAATAGGTCAACCAATTATTTGGAGGTCCGTTTGATCAAAAATGGAGACGATGGATGTTTGCGTGAAATCTATGAAAATCGATACACATGCATTGAACGCGTTCCGAAGCAACCGGTAAAAGATAGCGTCCTAGAAAACGTGAAATCGAACTTTTTGTTGTTTTTTTCTTTTCGTTGGCTGAAATGATGAAAAAAGTATAAATCGAACAATTTTTAAATGTTTTTTTCTGTTTATTTTCTCGGATAAAGAAATTTTTATAATTTTGTCTTTTTTTGACTGAATATTTTGAAACGAAATGGTCAAAAAATAGCGGAGTGAGGCTTCGATTTCGGTCGGTCGAAAATAGCCGACCGCCGAGCGACTACTGACCCAGCCGACAGACAGCCGACCGAGTTGGCCGATCGGTCGACCGTTTTTGTGGTTTTGCGCATCAAAATACGAAATTTTGCGAACGAATTATTTAATTTTTTTCGGTCGGCTGTCGGACGGCGGAGTCGGTGGTCGGTCCGTCGGCTGAATTTCCCGACCGAATGGAAGTTTAATAGCGGATAATGATCTAAAAAGGGCAATCTGAAAATCAGAAAATCGAAGAATTTAAAACACTTTGAACTTCCAAATCTGAAAATAAAAGAATCTAACATCCTAGATGAAAACACATTACTTTTTCAAATTTTCTTGATAATCTGAAAATTCGAAAAACTGGGGAATTCGAAATCTCAACAACTTCAAAATCTGACTAGGGAAGGCCCCAACTCGGGTGTGGCGATACGGGTTTTCCTGATTCCAAATCTATTTTCAAAAAGTGCATTGTCACGGTAGTTTTCGAGAAAATTGGGTCAAAAGTTTCGAAAAATGACGTGGATTTTTCATCTCATTTTTCTTCCTCACGTATATAAGCTTTGAAGCGTTGAAAAAATGTCGAAGCGTGGCCGAATGGTTAGCGAGGAGGAATATGGAGCGGGTACTCTCTGGTTCGACTCCCTCGAGCTGCTAAATTTTTTTTGAATTTTTCTTTGTTCTTTCCGGTGACCGTATCTGACTTCTAGGTGATCCTATATGATTCCATATACTTGGAATTGGTTTCCATTTTGATTTTAACTGTTTTACCTATTATTTCCGAAACTTTTTGTTCCCATCTATTTTTCCACAATTTTCAAAGGGTTGTGATCCATTGAAGATTCTAGACAAACCGCATTCTTTTGATTTTGCTCGAACTATTGTCATTGGTCTTTTTGGGCACGCTGATTACAGAACTGAAGTCAGTTTTTCCACCCCGGCTTGGGAAAAAAGTTATGAGCTATAAAAGTGACTACAGTACTAATTTCTCATTTTTGGAGTGAGTTTCTGAAAAAGTTATTGACTTTTTTGCTATATTTAAATGTTGTCCGTATTTTGTATGCTTTTCTACAATCTGAAAAGGTTTTCTCTTTTCTTTCGGAAAATTTTTTTTTGAGAAAATCCCATGGGGTACCCCCTTGGCATTTTTTCAAATTTCGAAAAAATTTTAATGTGCTAGAATTAGTTCTCAACACAAAAAGAACCAATAAAAAGTTGTTTACCGAGATTCGATAACGTATGTCCATTTCTACAAGTCAGATACGGTCACCGGAAAGAACGAAGAAAAATTCAAAAAAAATTTTTGCAGCTCGAGGGAGTCGAACCAGAGAGTACCCGCTTCATATTCCTCCTCGCTAACCATTCGACCACACAGGTCCTGGGCGATGATGCGCATAAAGGACCCGATCCATATGCGATCCTCTAGAAGTCCGTTTGACACATATCGCGAACAACGAGCTGCGATGAGTCTCACATGTGTGCGATGCGGAAGAGGCTGAATCGAGTGTTACGAATGCGCGCGTATCCTAGATGGATTCTAGGTGGGTGGGCGATGTGTGCGATATGGGTCTGATACGGTAGGCCGACTACAACACTCCGAAATCCCTGATGCGCGCATTGTTTACCGTAAATCCACACCGGCAACTTTGTCAATTTTTCGTCAATTCGAGCCTACATTTCTGGTTTTTCGATTATTCCTTCGATGTTTTTTTGTGAAAAAGAGTTATGGCAGACTAAAAAATCGTTGAATTCTTGCAGAAACATGTCTTTCACTCGTTAATTGCTATGTTTTTCGCCAAAATAGGTGATATTGAGATTTTTAGATTTCACTTTGTAATTATTGTAAAAATCGTATTTTCAGGTGGAGTAAAAGGTAAGTTGGTAAGTATACAATAATTACAAAGTGTAAATTATAAAAATTTTCAATTTTTCATGCAATTTCAAAAAAAGTGAAAGTGAGACATTTTTTGAACAAATGAAAGAAAAACAATTTTTAGCGAATTTTTTCCCATTTTGTTCTGTTTTTGATTGCATATCAAATTTAAATGGAAACTGCCATAAGTCTTTTTCAAAACCAAAACATTGAGTTTCGAAAAATCAGTAATATGTCGTTCAAAATATAAAAAAATATGGAATAATAAAGGAAAAGTACGAAATCGGAAGACCTGAACAAAATCACATCACAATAGAACTTAACTGATACTTCTAGGAACCCCCAACCAAAGTTTTAGTTCATTTCATCGAGTGCCAGCAAGCCAGGCGAGGAGATGCTTTGCGGCGGTGGTGTGCCCCATATGCCCCGTATATGCCCCATACCGGCGTCCTTTCCCTGTACCCAATTCATCGGCGCGTCCTCCGTCGCCCATCCATTATGCGTATGCACGCCCAGGACCTGTGCACGCTTCCACATTTTTTCAACGCTTCAAAACTTATATACGTGAGGAAGGAAAATGAGAATAAAAATCCACGTCATTTTTCGAAACTTTCGACCCAATTTTCTCGAAAACTGCCGCGACAATGCACTTTTTGAAAATAGATTTGGAATCAGGAAAATTTCAGCTTTCAGATGATATAGGTCACCACCCGTATCCCCACGCCCGAGTTGAGGCCTTCCCTAGTGAGATTTCCAACAGATTATTGTTTATGGTTTTTGAAATTTTCTTGATTTTCAATTTCATACTCTGAAAATCTGAAAACCAGGGAATCCGTAAATTTCAGAATCCCATGATTCAGAATCTCAGAATCTCAGAATCTCAGAATGGCAGAATCTCAGAATCTCAGAATTTCAGAATCTTAGATTATCAGAATCTCAGAAACTCAGAACCTCAAAATATCAGAATCTCAGAACTTCAGAATATCAGAATATCAGATTATCAGAATCTCAGAATATCAGAATCTCAGAATCTCAGAATCTCAGAATCTCAGAATCTCAGAATCTCAGAATTTCAGAATCTCAGATTATCAGAATCTCAGAAACTCAGAACCTCAAAATATCAGAATCTCAGAACTTCAGAATATCAGAATATCAGATTATCAGAATCTCAGAATCTCAGAATCTCAGAATCTCAGAATCTCAGAATCTCAGAATCTCAGAATCTCAGAATCTCAGAATCTCAGAATCTCAGAATTTCAGAATTTCAAAATTTCAGAATCTCAAATTTTCAGAATTTCAGAATCAAACAATTTTTTGAATGTTCCAAAAAATCTGAAACCTTGATAATTTGAAAATTCAGAATTTCAGTATCTCAAAATCTGGAAACAAAACTCAAACTAGAAACTTTTCTGGTCACCCATGCTATAACTATTAGGTTGGCGGGAAAGTCTTTGTCACTTTTTCAATAGTTTATTTCTCAAAGAAAAAATAACCGAATAATTAATTATATTGTCCATCATTATCAACAACATGTCTCCAACGTTCCCTCAATTTATGGATTCCATTGCGGTAGAATCCAGCCGGGCGTGAGGCAAAGTATTGTTTGAGTGCCGCTTCGACCGCTCCACGGGAATTGAAGCTTCTTCCTTCGAAGGCACGTGTCATATCGCCAAATAACCAATAGTCGGAAGGAGCAAGATCAGGAGAATACGGGGGGTGAGGGAGAACATTCCATCCATATCCCATCAGCTCCTGCTTCACTTGTTTCGAAACATGTGGGCGAGCGTTATCATGTTGACAGTACACTTTCTTGTCTTTCAGGGCCGAACGGTCGACTGCTTTCTTGAGGTTTCGTAGTTGAGTAGTGTAGAGGTCTCCAGTTATTGTTTTGCCCTCGGGCAGAAGTTCCCAGTAGATGGGGCCGTCCACTCCCCACCACACAGAGACATAACTTTTTTCGGATGAAGGTCGGGTTTGGGGACATCCTGTGGGCTCTCTCCTTCTCCAACCCACTGGGATTTCCTGTGGTGATTATCGTAGAAGACCCACTTCTCATCTCCGGTTATTAGCCGGTCCAGCCATCGATCGCCCGCGTGGAGAGTGAGAAGAGTAATCGAATCGTCGACTCGGCGGTCAAGGTTGGCTTGAGTCAGGTGATGAGGTATGAATCGACCAAAAAGTTTTCTCATTCCAAGAGACTTCAAACCTTCAAGGACTGTGCTATGGTGAACTCCGAATGTGACAGCTAGTTCACGGCTAGATTGAAATGGATCCGATTGCAATGCGTGCTTCAGCTTGTCCAAATCCAACTCACGGGGTCTCCCAGAGCGATCCTTTTCATCGAGCGAGAAGTCATCTTTTTCGAAACGATGGAACCAATTGCGAATAGTATTGTAGTGAGGGGCATGTGTGTTGTACACATTCTTCAAGAAAGTTTCCGAATCCTTCATCGTGGTGTGAGATAGGAAGAGGTAAATCAAAACATGTCTGATGTGAATAGCAGTGGGAACAAACATATCGTTTCAATTACAGATGAGGAGCAGGGAAGGAGATGGGGACTTGTTTATATGGAAGGTTCTTATCACCTTGTTATTCACTAGAGTCGATATCATACACAGCCTCCATATACGAGAACAGTGATTAAACAAACAGAGTGACAAAGACTTTCCCGCCAACCTAATAAATAAATGAAATCAAGTTTGGGAAAAAACGGAAATAAAAAAGAGCACGTGGAGCTAAAATTCCAGTCTTTGGCCAGACACAAATTCACATTTTTTGGTCATAATTGGCATGTTGCCAACCTAATAAATGCACGTTTCTTCCGTCAATTTTCACGAAAAAATCTAGTTTGCACTAGATTTTTCCAAATTTTGAGTACTTCATATTGGCAAATTTACCTGATTTTTCCAGCTTTGACATCTGACATCTGAATTTCCAAATTTTCAGTATTTAAAAATCCTAACAAATATGATATTCTCATTTCTAAGCGATCCCGAATATTTCTCCCTTGTGCTTTATATCATTGGCGTTTTCTCATTTCCAATTCATTTATTTGGGGGTTACTGTATTTTATTCAAAACTCCGCCCACAATGAAACATGTCAAATGGGTCATGTTCAATCTACATTTTTGGAATTGTTGGTTGGATTTAACGCTGAGCACATTGAGCCAACCATTTATTATTCCACCGGTTTTTGGGGGATTTTTTCTTGGAATGTTGTGTCCGTTGGGTATTAACATGAAGTTGCAAGTCTATATGATGGTTACACAGATTATGAGTGAGTTGGATAAAATAACGGGACGTCTCAGAACTGTTCGCTTTAGAGCGGTAGCGAACTGATCGGTTCTAAAGCGTCTGGTTATGGAATCGGCAGTTTAGAATCATAATATTGCAAACCTCAATTTCGAGTTTCGGAATTTTCAAAATTTCGAAACTTTCAAAATTTAACTTTCCACAGACAATCTTTCATCTTCCAAAATTTTAGAATTTGAGATTTTTAGAATGTTAGAAGGTCACAATTTCTGAATTTCTGAATTTCCGATTTTCTGAATTTTTGAATTTTTGAATTCAAAGTTTCCAGTGGTCGCCGTTGCCACAATTGCCATATTCGAGAATCGCTTCTTCCTCCTCTTCGCTGAAAACACCTTCTGGCGTCATGGTCGAAAACTCTTCTACGTCATCAACTACTCCCTAGCACTATCTTATTTCCTACCTACCGTACTCCAGATTCCCGATCAAGAATTGGCGCGAAAAGAGATTTTCAAAATGTACCCATCGATTATCCATTTCGACCGTCCTAGTCGCCCGATTTACGTCGTCGCTTATGATATGGAAATCCGAGAATGGATCGGATATCGGCAATTGATCAGTTTGTGTACTGTAATTGTACAAGGCGCTACTTTTTTGATACTTTTGCATTTCAACATTTGGAAATCTACGAAGAATATGACCATGTCTGAGACTACACTGAGATTGCAGAAGGTGTTTTTGAGAGCGGTTTATTTGCAGGTGAGCGGTTTGGGAGTAAATTAATTTTAGATTTATATTGAAGGTAATGTTATGCTGATTCCAAAAATTTAATTTTTATTGATAAGTGATAAATATGAAACGAGATATGGAGCAATGAAGCGCGAGAGCTAAAATCGCCAAAAAAAGACTGCAAGACTTTTAAAAAACAGTTAAATTTATATTCTTTCTAACCGTCTCAATTTGCTGATTCGAATAATGTACATATCGTTGTACTAGCTTTGAAATGAACAGAGTTACATTCTTCTTTAATAACAGGAGAGACGCAGACAGCGAGAGTGTCTGCGCCTCCTTTTGCGCGCGCTATTTGATCTATTTGATCCGTATCTTTGTTCATATTGTAGCTAGATCTATGAAAGTGCTACCATTCAAATCAGCTGATTCAGACGGTTTGAATGATAATAAATAAAATTCCAGATTGCCATCCCTGCTACGGTCATGATAATCCCTCAAATCATCATGGAAATATTGGGATATCTCTATCTTATGAGTCCAGAGATGAATAGTATTGCCTATATGTTAATGTCGGTACACGGAGCATCTGCAACACTTATCATGTTATATTTTCATGCTCCGTATCGAGAATTCTGTCAAAAAGTTTTTTGTAAAAAAGTTAGAGTTTTAAATGGAATCGAGAGCAATCAATATGTGGACACAACTGCGTCGAATGTGGTTCTAGCAGGATGAGAAAAAATTTGTAATGTTATGTAATAAACATTTTTTATTTTGTTATCAACATTGAATTTCTAAAGTTTCAGGAAAACGAAAAATTTTCAGATCATCAGAAACTCGTAAAATAAATAAAAAAAAGCTTTTTCGTTTTTTCATCACTCGTTTTTCCTGATCTCCAATTCTTCTTAGAACATATTTTCCATGAAAACAATTGAATAATCGCCTGGTCAGAAAATATTCGCACGGAAAATGAAAATTCACAAAGTTCACATTTTTTCTTATCACATTTCTTTCTAGCTCAAAAATTTTTTTCACTCTTTTATCAGTTGATGTTTTATATGATTTTGAAAATCAATAGTTTTTTGAAGTTTTTCAACCACATTTTGATTATTCATAGAATTACAGAATTGCGGAATTTCAGAGTTATACAGAACTCACAATCAGGATCACACAATTTTGGAAATCCAAAACTATGAAGCTAAAAAAAATGCAGAGTTTACTGTGAAAGAACTGTAAAATACTGTAAAATAAGAAAATTTCCAAAAATCTGAGCATTTCGAAAATTGTGAGGAATACTGATTGTGAGAGAAAATCCAAAATTTTGAGGATATTCCGAAAATTAGATCAGATTTTCGAAATTTTAGAATTTTAGAACCTTCGATTTCAAAAAAAAAATCGAAATGCCTAAAAGTTACAGGATTTCAGTAATTTTCAAAAATCTAAAACTTTAAAGATTCACAAGCAAAAATATTCAAAAAAAAATCATTTCAGAATTTCAGAATTTGCTAACTTTTTCTCTCCGTTATCATTTTTACTGTTTTTTGCGTTATAAAATATAGCGTTTCAGATCTCATTTTTGAAAATTCTTCAAAAGTTTCAATACTTTGGAAAAATCCAAAATTGTAAAGTTTCAAATGTTTTCGGTTATTTAAAGGTGGGGGGACAGGAGATTTTACGGGGGATTTTTGGGTCCAGAGTATGCATTCTACCGTGACGGTGTACAACACTTAATGTCACTCTGCGTACAGCTGTCGTCCTCGCCTTTATGTATGCAATCGGGAGGCCGCTTTCTCTTTGCCCGTGTAGCTCAGTCGGTAGCGGCGCCGCACCCTCAATCATCGCCTTCACAAGTTCAACTCCTCGAGGGGCATATTTGAACGAAATTTCGAGAACATTATTTTTTTTCATGTCCCCCCACCTTTAAAAAAATTGAATTTCAGGATTTTTAAATTTTCTGAACATCAGAAATTCGAACATTTGGAACTGCAAAAGGTCAGAGACGCAGACAACATGTGTGTATTGTTGTTGCATTTTACACCCCTCCCCCCCACTAAACCCATTGCCCGTGTTGTTACTACACTTTCGTCTTGAGCGAGAGGGTGGTCTTTTGGCAATCTGCCAACTTCCTTCTCTCGGTAATTAGCGAATGCGCTCCATTGGACATATGGTTATCTTTTGATTCTTGATGGAACGGTCACTTGACTCATAATTTAGCCGTTTCTTTTTGTGATTTTTAATGTGCAAATAGTGTATCAAAAGAAGTTTTATTGAAAAAAGTTTCAATTTGGAGTTTGGAAAGTTTTCATGCAAAGTTTTCAATTGAAAATTGACATTTGATGCAATTATCGATGGGAGGGTATAGCTTTGCAAAATTTTTTAACAAAAAAAAAAGTTTTTCTATTACAATTTTTTCCATTTACTTTTCAAATTTCTGATTCAAAAATTCTGATTCTCAATTTATTTTTATTTTTTCCGCAGATTCCAATTCTTTAAAAGTCTTTTCATTGCGCAAAAGTCATATGCTAGTTTGCCCTCTCCTTCTTTTCTCCCCGTTTTCCCTCTTCTTCTGTCTGCGTCTCCTTATTTTCTGTACTCTCTCATTACTCTTTTCCATTTCTATTCGCTTTTTGGTCTGTTAACCACTTCCTCTTTTCTTTTGCTGACTGACCACAACAAATTTGTAGTTGTGTGTTTGTTGACCGTCTGCCATTTTAAATAGGCTGGCACGCTTTGGGCGCGTTTTTGAAATAAAAAAGGTTGGAAAAATAGAAATTAAAATTTAGAAAAATACCGTAAAGCCTCTAATAGAACGACACCCGGTCAGTCAACTTTGAGTGTATATATCTCACTTCTTTTGAAAGATATCAAAAAGTGGTTAACTAGTAAAATGTTTATCAGGATATCAGCAACATTTTACTAGTTAGCCACTTTTTGATATCTTTCACAGAAAATGAGATATATAGGCTCAAAGTGGACGATCCGGGTGTCGTTCTATTAGAGTTTTTACGGTAACAAAAATTGAAAATTCTTAAATTAAAAAATTAAAAACCAGCAAACCAAGTCTACCTAACTTTCTAAATTAATTTTGTTCGCTTATCGGAAAACTTTTCGAAGCGGAAACATTTTTTCTTTGCACCTGTCATTTTTTGAAAAGTGTGTAAAAATGTGAGGAGGAAACATTTGTTTTGTTGCTTTATCTTTTTTTTCTCTCGTCTTTTTATGATTTCTGATTTTTCTTTGTCATTGAACACATTGAGTCTATTCTGAGAACGATTCAAAGAAACCAGCTGATCAGATATTTTCGCACGCAGGAAAAGAAGAAATTCCTCAAAATTCACAATTTCTCTTATCACATTCACCCCTGAAAATTTTCAGGTCTTTTATCAGTTAAATGATGTTTAACATCATTTTGAAAATCAATAGTTTTGTGTAGTTTTCCAACCAAAATTTTCGAAATTTGGTAGACCCAAAAACTATTAAATTTGGATTTTTGTTGGAATTTCTGAAATTCAAAAAATTAGAAACTCACAATTAGAATTTCAGTGGAAAATTTCAACAAAAAATAACAGTTAATTTTTTTCATATTTCATTAATTTTTTTTCGAATTTCCTATCGAATTTGTCTTTCCCCCTTTCCTAATTTTCAAATTTCTTATTTTATTTTTGCATACTTGCAACCGGGCCTTTGCCGGGCCTTCGCGCGGGTCTGCCATAGTTTCTTTTAGAATCAATATTTTTGAACTAATTAAATCACATATAATAGAACAAGATACAATTCTCCAAATAGTATCATTTTGTAGTACTCTCCGAGTTCTATCACGTCTAATTTAATTGATCTGAAAATATTGATTCAAAAAAAAACTATGGCGCGGCCCGCGAAGGCCCGACAGAGGCGCGGTGGCAAGTATGTTTTGTTCAAATTTTCAAAAAAAAAATAAAATTAAATTTCAGTGACACCATGTCAACTCAAGAATGGGCTGATAAAGCCATCAAATATTTTGTGGAGCATTTAGCGAACATGACTGCTCCAGAAAATTTTCACAGTTGGATCAAAAAATTTAAAGATGACTCGAAGTATGATAAGTCAGAAGCCAATGTCAGAGCGACGTGAGTTTGGAGGGAGTTTGAATTTCTGAACTTCTGAGTTTTTGAATTTCTGAATTACTGAATTTCTGAATTTCTGAATTTTTGAATTTCTGAGTTTCTGAATTTCTGATTCTCCGTTTTTCTGAATTTCTGAATTTTTGAATTTCCGATTTTCGGAATTTTTGAATTCCTGAAATTTGGAATTTCTGAATTTCTGAATTTCTGAATTTCTGAATGTCTGAATTTCTGAATTTCTGAATTTCTGAATTTCTGAATGTCTGAATTTCTGAATTTCTGAATGTCTGAATTTCTGAATTTCTGAATTTCTGAATTTCTGAATTTCTGAATTTCTGAATTTCTGAATTTTTGAATTTCTGAGTTTCTGAATTTCTGATTTTCCGTATTTCTGAATTTCTGAATTTTTGAATTTCCGAATTTCTGAATTTTTGAATTCCTGAATTTTTGAATTTCTGAATTTCTAAATTTCTGAATTTCTGAATTTCTAAATTTCGAAATTTCTGAATTTTCGAATTTCTGAATTTCTGAATTAATTTTAGATTCCTTTGAATTTCAGAATTTCCCGAAAACTTGAAAAAATCGAAGAAATGTCAAACTACACACTAAATCAAAAAGTTCAACTTCTCTTCGTTCTGAGCCAACCAGTGAGCCGGAATTTTCAGGAAATGTTAGCTTTAAAATAGTATTTTTTTTCAAATTTTTCATAATTTTTTCCAGAATCAAAGACGCAAAATGTTGTATGGAACTGGACGAGAATCGACGCATCACTCTTTTCTGCTCCGCTGATGATAAGTTGATAAGAAATGGTTATCATGGAGCCAGAAATAAGCCATTTAGTGGAGGAAAATTGAATTCTGGAAGGTGAGATTACTGTACTTTTTCAGTAACCGTAAATTCAGTTACAGTACTCCGATTTCGTTGCCAAAATCATCAAATCAACCATCTACATCAAATTCTGCCATTAAAACCACTCCGAAGAAAGTTCACGAAAAGTGATAAATTCAAAAAATCGAAAATTCAAAAATTTAGTTTTTTTCAGCAAAACTTCTCCAACTACTCCAATACAACCTAGTAAAAATTTGTCGGTCCCAAAATTCTCAATTTCTAGTCCAAATGAGCCAAATGGAAAAAAGTGAACATGCGGACATCCGGACAAACAGAAACATCTTATTTTCAGCAATACTGCTCCATCTACTCTAAAACTTCCAATTAAAAGTGTTACGACTCCAAAACCGTCAGTTTCCAGTCCAATTGAGCCAATTGTCAAAAAGTAAGACATCTGGACATTTGGATACACAGATAACTTTTTTTTCAGATTGCCTGATCCTGGTTCTTCATCGAAATCGGAATCTTTGCGGACTCCAAAAACTCAAAATTCAGAAGATTCGGGACTCAAGAAAAATGAGATAGTGATTCCGAAAATGTGAGAATTTTGAATTCTTTTTTTTGAAAATTTTGGATTGATTTGGGATAATTTCAAAATTCTGAAATTCGGATTTTTCAGAAAATCGACGACTCCAAATATCTCAACAATTTCTATCAAAAATGAGCCCCAAGAAGACATTATCATCGATCAATTACCGCTGAACCCTCGTCCTCATGTTCTCATCGTCGAAAAGATGGATCTCCCCGTCCCCGATTCTACCGTATCCATTCCAGCAGCAAAGAAGCTTCCAGACCTTCCGAAAATTTCAAATTCCCGCCCTACAGTATCCCAGAACAACACTCCTGGACCATCAACTCCGGCTTCAAAACGATCATCTCAAAATGAAGTTCAAGAGGTTGCTGAAAAACGTCAAAAATTGACTACAGTATCCCAGGAGCCACTGACTCGTCGAAAATTTCTGGAACATTTGGAGCGATTTGCCATAATTATGGATTCGTCGAAAATGGCTCAGGTTTTGGTCAGAATTCGGAATTCATTGAGAAGTTGTGGAGAAGAGGTAACCTTTCCGGACTTTCTAGAGAACAAGACGTAAAACTTCACGCTGATTTGAATAGTATAAAAGTCGAAGCTCTAGCTTGAAAATTTTTTTCTGTGCCATACAGTTACAATGTTCATAACTCAGTTCATTTGTTAGATAGAGTCTTGATCGTAGTACCAATTGCATCAGCAGAATTTTTTTAAATCTGGAAAATATATTCAAGAAATTCTCCCAACTTCACTAAAAGCAATTATTAAAAGAGTTAAACTCGAGCTACGTAGTTGACGCCAAACGGGTCTCTATCGCCAACTTTAAGTCAATTTTTCATGCCTTTTTGTGAGAGGTATCTAAAATTGTTCAACAAACAAAATATTTCTGATATTATGAAAAACATTTTATCAGTTGACTACTTTCTGATACCTACTACAGGAACTGAGATGAATTGAGCTAAAGTTACCGTCATTGTTCTAACAGAAGCCCATCCTATATGTGAACTTTGAGCTTGATTATTTACATTCCTATGAGAGATATCAAATATTTTTCAACTGATAAAACGTTGATGATATCATGATAAATACATTTTTAGGTGACCACAAAAAAATTAGAAATTTGCAGATCCTCCACATCCCAGATGTGAACACCATAATCCGAGCCGTCGTCGTGGCGACAAAGATCCCATGGCCATCTGCATCCGAGGAAGTGACCAGTCTATCTCAATACGTTCAAATGCTTCGTTACACAATTCTAATGCTGAATTCTGAAGAATTGGAAACGTCAGATGAGGAATTGAAAGTTCATATGAAACGTTTGGCAGTTCAAGATAAGGTAGGGTCTGAAATCAGAAAGGAGCCACAAATCTTATTTTCAGATTTGAAATTACGGTAAATTTTGTTGAATGACACGGGAAATTATAGTTCAAAATTTGTCTGAAAATTCTCAAAAAAAAAAGACTACAATTCCAGAAAATTCCAATGAGCCGAATCGCCCAGGGCATTGATCAACTTCTCGTCGCCGCCATGTCTGTTGATAGTAATTATTGATTTATTTATTATTTTTCTGTGAAAATTTGTCCAAAATCTAATTTTACCTCCCCCTGGAATTTGTATTTTTATCATTATTTTTATCTACCTGCAATTCTTTTTGATAAATCTCAATTGTCTATTTTTTCAAAAGTTGTAATAAAGACTTTCAGGTGTAAAAATTAGCATTTAGATTTAAAAAAATTTTATAATCGAATTCTTATCTCTTAATTTTTTCTCAAATTCGCCGAAAATTGTAAAAAAGAAATGATAAGAAAAAAAGAAGAAAGATTTTCTAAGTAAAAAATAAACGAACTGTGGTTCATACAAAAAAAGGGTAGACCGGTTTTTGTAATTTTTCGATGAAATGGAAAATAGATTTTGTTACTTTCATTTGATCTTTTTTCTTATTCTTCCATGTAGAAATTTCTGAAACATTCGATTTTTTTCTGAATATTCACTTTTTCGGAAATTTAGGTGAGTCTTTTTTTTCCAGAGTTAGGAAAGTTTACGGTTGGAACAAATGCGCTCCTTTGTTAATTTCTAGAGTTAGCTCCTTTTATGCCGATTGAGCGCGTTTGCCGTTTTCCAATAGTTTTCATTTTCATTTTTCTGATTTTTTTTCAGTTCAAATGGTCCATGGATTACATAGGAATTCTCATGAAGCATTGGAAGATCTAAAAAAAAGATAGTAATATCCAAAATTTGGGCACGGAACTGTTATAGTCACTTACTACAATTTTTGAAAAATGGCAGCAGAAACAAGAATGTTCTTGTCCGTCTTGGAGACATGATGGAGGACAAGATGATTACATATTATATCACTTGAAGTGTTGTTTTCCATTCCCGCTTCAGTTTCATTCTTCCACACTAATCTGGAAAGCTTTCACGGTGGAAAAATGTCGAAAATGATAAAAAGTTAAAATTTTTCAAAATCTTTAAAATCTACAGTACTCCAATATTTAACTCCAATATTTAATAATCTTCTATTTTACTACAGTATTCCTAGATTTCACTACTTGAATCCTATTTTTATCTGCTGGTATTCTAGACTATACTACAGTAATCCTACGTGTTATTATAGTAGTTCTATATTTAACTATAGTATCCCTATATTTTACTACAGTATTCCTATATGTATTTTACTACAATATTCCTAATTTTTCCCCATATTTTTCCTATATTCCACTACAGTATTCCTATTTTTAACTACACTATCTTTATATTTAGCTACAGTTATCCTTTATTCAGCTGCAGTATACTTATATTCAACTGCACTATTCTGAATATTTTTCCAGTAATCTTCTAGAAGTTATTTCGAAAAAAAGATAAGTTTGACTTCTTCGGAAATCCTTAGAACTGTTCCCGTTTTAGGATTCAATTTCTTTGTCAATATACGGAAATCTTGTTAATTATCTACAGACGACATGTGAAGAAAAGAACCTAGTGATATCTTATCAGTAAGTTTTTCAATTACCAACCGATCAATTAATCAACCAGGCTATATGAAATTTACCAACAAAATTCATCAACAGTTTCTTATTCTTTTGGAATCACCTGATCAAGTTTTCTATGGGAACTGATAAGACTAGAAATGATGTAATTCTTATCAATTCAGTTTTTTCTTTAGTAAAAACTTTTGTCGTATAAATTGTTTACTAACTGATAAGAAAATGTTTTTAACTGTTACCAAATTACGAATTTTTGTTAAATATCGTGAAAAATCAAATTTCAGATAGTGATCTGAAGTTGTAGAAAATCTAGGTCAAAAGGGTTCTTTAAAATGTTTAATAATTTTCGACAACATTTTCAGTTTAATAACTTGGTTGGAAATGTTGAAATTCGGAGAATTGGACGAAATATTGAAATTTAGTGGTCTGGATTCGATTATAAAGATGGACAAAAATATATTTTTTAAATACATTTTTATTCTTCATGAATGAAACAATTATAAAGTTTAATTATCAAACTCAAGAAACATTTCCGGATGAGACACGTCGACAGTGAAAATGTCGAAAACCAAAGCCAACTGAGTTTTCGTATTCTTTCTTACCAAATCCAAACTTTATTTTTTAATTTTCTCATTTTCCAAAAATTCGACAAACCTGTATCTGATTATTAATCCTCATCATCTGCGCCATTCGACTTCCATAATTTGATTTGTTCATTTCATTAACATAATAGTCATGTAGATCATCAGCCAAAATCTCTTGGAACTTTTCGGAAATTCGAAGAATTTCTCCTTGAAATCGTTTTCCGACATAATGGAAACATAATTGTCCGAGCATGAATGATAATTCGATTTCTGATGGTTCCAATTGAATCATTGATCGGAGAAGTGAAAAAACGGATTTCAGTGGTTATTTCGAGGAAAATGAAAGTTTAGAAAATTTGAGAAGCGCTACAACTTGCTATCATTTTTGGTTCTAGATGGTTATTTCGGACTTGAAAAAATTGCATTCAAAGGCAACTGGATTTTCAAGAAAATTTGGCTCTTTATGACAAGGGGGGAGGGGGCCATGAGAAAAGAGGCCCATGGGAAAAAGGGGGCCCAAGTCAAAAGGGGGGGGGGCATGAGAACAGGGGGGGGGGGCAAGTGAAAAGGGGGTGGCCCAAATGGAATTAAGGGGGTGGCCCAAAGGGGGTGGCCCAAATGGAATTAAGGGGGTGGCCCAAAGGGGGTGGCCCAAATGGAATTAAGGGGGTGGCCCAAAGGGGGTGGCCCAAATGGACCCAAATGGAACAAATGGAATTTCTCAAAAAAGCGAACGTTCTCCTTCTATTGTCCGCGCGTCATCATACTGGTTCGGTGGGCGCGTTAGCATTTGCTGTATCTCAGCTGGTAGCGTTTTGGCACCTCCAACGATGGTCCCATAAGTTCAACACTTCAAGGAGCTTTAATGATTAAAAACTCAAGAAGTTAATTTTATTTTTGAACGTTCCCCTCCTTTAGAAGCCGACAGCCTATTTGTTCAATACTCAATCACATTGATATTGTTCAAAAACAATTATTCATGTAAATCCGATTTTTCATTGAGTTTGCGATTTCGTTTTCGGTGTGTCAATAAGTGGCAAGCAGGAATGTGCCAGAAAACAGGTGAAAATTGAAATCTGAATTCTCGGAATTTTAACCTCACTATTTTTCATTATTCCCCTTAAAAATGTCATGTGATTATCAAGGCAATTTTCTAGAATCCGATGAGTTCTATGCCACTTTGTTACATTTTCTCTCCATTTTACAAGCTCCGATGCACATTTTTGGTATTTATATTATTTTGAAAAAGACTCCAAAATCAATGGAAAAAGTGAAATTTCCAATTCTTCTCTTGCACTTGATGTGGGTTTTTTAAATGATTTTTGAATTTTAAAATTTCAAATTTTCAGAACTGCTTGGTGTGATTTCTTTATTTCGATTTTGTCCACACCAGTTTTTTTGTTTCCTGCCACTGCTGGATATGTAATGGGTATAATGGATTACATTCTACCCACATGGCTGTTCTGTTACATTGGATTCGTTTCTATTAGTCGTGAGTTTGAAAATTGAAAGACCAAATGGACTTCAAAATCCGTACTTTCAGTGATTGGGCCGTCACTAACTTTATTGTTCGAAAACCGTTATAATTTTCTGGTACGCAAAGATTCGGAATGTCAAAGTCGTAAAGTGAAGAGGATTCTTCACATTTCCCTCAATATAATCTTCGCATTTCTAATAGTATATCCTCCATTCCAAAATCATTCTGCTGTTCCTGATTTTCGGGAAATCCTTCATCAAGAATTTCCTTGTCTTCCTGAAAAAATAGTTCGACATCCACGACTTTATTTTATGATAGCCAGTACTTCAACCGCATTTATATGTCTTTCATTTGATCTTCTACTCCCTACAATCCAAGTTTTCTTTTTCTTTTTCTCCACCACTTTCCATCTCTACAGAAACTCAAAATCTCGTTCCTCAAAAACCACTAAACTTCAGAATCAATTTTTCAGAGCAATGTGTATTCAAGTATGTCTTCCTTTTACTGTAATCGTGGTTCCCGGATTTTATTTTGTTTATATTTTTGCAACCGGTTACCTTAACCTAGCATTCAATAATTTGACTGTAATTTTGGTCACCTCTCATGGTGCATTTTCCACTATAGTTATGCTTATTGTGCACCAGCCATATCGAATTGCCACGTTGCAAATCTTGAAAATACGGAAAATAGAAACACCGACATTTGCGAGCACCACTCATTATATTAGTTGTTAAAATACCGTAAACCCTGTAATAGAAGAGCCCCAGAACTGTCAAGTTTGAAATGATTTATCTCGGTTCCTGTCAAAGATGTAAAAAGTTGTCAACTGATAAAATGTTTGTGATATCACGATAAATATTTCTCCAGTTTACAACTTTTTTACATCTTTGACAGGAACCGAGACATCTCTTTATTATCTTCAGTTTTTTGAAATTTTTTTAGCGATTTGAATCAAAATGTCTGTTTTTTTTAACTTGAAGATTCTGAAGTTTTTTGTTTTCCAAGTAAAAGTTTTAAATATGATCGAAAAACTTTTAAAATGTTATTTATTAAATCAGTAATTTTAAATCAATGATCTTGTTAAATCAGTAACCAGTACTTAATCAGTAATTAGTAAATCAGTAATCAGTAAATCAGCAAGCAGTAAATCAGTAATCAGTGATAATTAAATCAGTAACCAGTAATTAAAAAATCCTTAATTTTCAAACAAAATTTTCATATTTTGGAGGCGGCGAGTCCGAAATTTCTTTGTATTCTGGAGGTGGATCTTCAGATGAAACTGTCAAGAATTTTGGAATTTCAAGGAGCTTGGGAAAATCTGAAATTTCATAACGTTTAAAAATCAAACTTTTCTAATGCCTTACCATCGAAATCCCCCAAATTCTGCAGAATCTGACGTCTTCTGGCGCTGATTTGATTATTCTCCGGTTTCATGGAAATCGAGCATCTCAGAAATTCCAGCGTTTGATTATAGTGTTTACAGGTGTAAAATACAGCTAGAAAAACGACTAAAGTGATAAGGAAGAATATGAAAATAGTGATAAATGATAGGAATTTTGAGAAATTTGAAACTTCTAGATTCATTTTTTTTCGGGTGAATAAGGATTTTTTGGGAATAAAAAGAGATGTGCCAGATTTTTGAGAGTGATGACGTCTAATCAGAGATTTGAGGGTTTGAATCTTACAAAAAAATAAGGATAAGCGGATAAAAAAGTATGTTAAAAAACATATACCGAAAAACCTAGAAATATCAGGCTATGACCTAGAAAATCTGGAAAATTGACCTTGAAAAAAAAATAAATGATGACCTAAAAATCGAAAAAATTGGGTCATGACCTAAAAATCAAAATGACCTACAAAACCCAAAATTTAGATCATGGCCTAGAAAATCCAAGATTTTTTTGTGATCTAGAAAATTATGAAAATCGGTCGTGACCTAAAAAATTCAAAAATTAGGTCATGGCCTAGAAAATCCAAAAATCAGGCCGTGAATTCTTAATCAAATAGAAGCGATTTAAAAAATCGAAAGATGAGCAAACATAAAAACATGCGATTTCCAAAAAAATTTATTCCATTTTTCATAGTTTGAGCCATACATACGTATTTGCACAGTATACATATACTCATATTTTCAATAACGACTGCATATTTGGAGACTTCAAAAACTATGGAAAATAACTTTCTTACTATTCTTTCACTATTTTTCGCAATATTTTTCTCATTTTCTAATAGCCTGGAGTACATTTCATTTGTAAGTTTTATGATCGAAAATTTTTTCATCAAAATTTCGAAAAGTTGAATTTCAGAATCGTCTAGAAAGATTGAAAATTCCTTTGGATCAAGTGGAGCACATGAATGAGTTGATAAGAGCAAAACGGCAATGGGAAAGTTCGAATATTGGATAGTTTTATTGTTTTTATCGTTTTTTAATTTTATCAACTATCCAAATAAATTTTCATAATCAGAATTAAAGGTTTATAATTAAATTTCCGTCTGATTTTCGTCTATTTTTTGCTCGTTTTTTCTCGATGGTTGGTCCGTTTTGCATCCGTTTTTCATCCGTTGTTTTTTTTTCCTCCAACGTTTTCTAATTGGGTTAGGTA